ACACGGAGATCAGGGATGTGTACACCAGCTCGGTCCACAACGGGACCAACCGGCTGATGCTCCCCTCCTCGGCACCGAATGCCCACGGGGCCCCCAGCACCGCTCCCGGCAACACCGAGTCCGTCCACAGCATCTACCACGCTGACTGCCACTTTGAGCCCGTGCGCTGCCGGCCATCCCTCCCGCAGCCAGGCCTTGGCTTGCCAAGTCCGGAGGGCATCCCCAAGAACGTTGTGGGCAGCAAGGTGTACCCCACGGTGCACCCCAGTACCTCCCACGAGATGCTGAAAGAGAAGAGCCTGGGGGAGGACATCCCGCCCGGGCCGTACAGCACCATGCACAAGCTGCTGGAGACGCAGAGTACGGGTGAGCCGTGGGCTGGATGTTGGTCTGGGGTTGCCATCCAGAAATACGAGCTATGACCTCATTTCTTTCTCTTTCTGAATCTTTGCAGGGTTCTTTTCAGTCCACGTTACAGAGAAAGGTGATGGCTTTTCAGGTGAGGCCAACATGAATCTTCTGACCTACCTCATGCATCTTGTAGCCAAAACCAGGAGAGAGGTTTCAACCTCCCAGACTTCATACTTGCAAGAATCCAAGGGAAATGAATGTTTTTAATGAACCTATTTTCTTTCCCATCCCCATCTCCCCGCCCGCCCCCCCCAACTAATTTATTCTGCAATTGCAGGGAACGCTCCCCAAATCCCTGCCCTCCCAAAATCAGCCAGAACAGGGCTCCGTAACACTGAGCAGCGCTGGAGCCCAGCCTGGCCACTTCCAAGTGGCCACGTCCCTTCCTTCCTAAAATGTGGGGGCTGGAGGGGGCTGCGTTGCCCACCACTTGCTGCAAAGCCTGGGGATGGACACCTTCCAGATCTGAGTTCCAGCACATCCCTGAGCACTGCGTAGCTCCACTCCCCGAGGCACCGGAGGCTCTTGCACGATTGCTCAACAGCAGTTGCAGACGCTGAGTATTAAAAATCTGGCCGGAGTGATTTACTCAGGAAGCCCGTAACAGAGCCAGGCACCAAACGCAGCTTTCCTGGAGCGGGGGTTTCATACCTTCACCGCAAGATGCTCTTTCCCCCTCCACATCCTGCGGTTTGGGAGCTTGGACCAATCTAGTCCAAACCCTCTCAGCCTCCGAGAGGCATTTCTGGCCAAGCTTTCCCGGACAGTCGATGCTGCGTCCCCTCCACCAGCATTGACCTTTCTGGCCAGGAGCTGCACAGGGAAGAGACCGAGTCCTGCCCCCAGCCCAGAGCTGCCCAGAGACTGAACACACAGAGCTAGGCTCTGGGATGGTTTAGCGCCGGCTTTTTATTCGCACTGCCGTATGCTGCCGTGCGGGAGTCGGGAGCATGCTTCGCAGATAGCCTCTCCCCTGGCAGCCAGCTGGTGGGATTTTTGGGGAATATCCCGCCCGTATTGTCACCCGGGAGCCACCTGGCAGCTGGGAGCCGCCGTTGGGGACAGCACATGGAGGGGGAAGCTGGTGATTTCGGAGCATCAGCAGACAGCGGGAGCAGGAGGGGCGGCTGCTGGCAGCAGCGCTCCGGCTAATTGCAGCCGGGGCCAGTGCGGGCCAGGGCAGCTGGTTGCCTTCTCCCAGCCGAAATGGCCGGAGGGGTAACAACGAGGCGGGTGAGGGGTCCTGGGCTGGCGGCAGCGTCTGCCTGGGCGCAGCGAAGAGGGCTTTGTAACGGGGGAGCTTGGGGAGCCCGGGTTTTGCCTGGGGCTCTAACCCAGCAGGAGCCCTTTTCCCCGCAGGAGATGCCTCTTCTGCTGAGGGCAGTGGTTTTGTGCTAACAGGGATGGGGGTTCGCTCCCCTGGCCGCCCGCAGCCCCCCCCTCCCAGCTGACGGGCTGCCCTGCCCCGCTGGCATTTCAGGTCCCTGCCAAAGCTCCTGCAAGATCTCCAGCCCCTGCACCAAGCTGGACGGTGGCTCCTGCAACCCCGAGAGCTGCCCTTACTGCCTCAAGGCGCTGGCAAGCGAGGCTGAGCTGACGGATAATGAGACGGCCGACTCGGACAGCGAGGGGGTCTACGAGTTCACGCAGGACGCCCACTACAGCGACCAGCGGGACCCACAGCGGGGCAGAGCCCGGACCAAGGGAGCGAGCCAGGTGCTGGCCTTCTGGCACGTGGTGTGTGAGACCTTCCGGAAGATTGTGGACAGCAAATATTTTGGCCGTGGGATCATGGTGGCCATTCTCATCAACACGCTCAGCATGGGGATCGAGTACCACGAGCAGGTGAGCGCTGCCGCAGCGGCTCCCGGCACAGCAGAGATGTGGGAGGTGTTACGGGTCCGAATCCGGCTGCCGGCGGGATGGTTTGGGGCCAGAGGCGTTGGGGTGCTGTAGGAAGGGTCCCAGGAGAGAGCAGGGCTGGCTTTTCTCCTCCGCGCCTGCTTCCAGCTTGCGGGCAGAGGCAGGCAGGAGTCACCTTG